AACTGTTTTCAGACTTAACAGTATATTTCTCTCTCAAAAATTCACTTACGTGTCAGACCAGAGACATTTTAATGATCTGCTGAAAAATAATTTCATGTTTAAGGTACCAGAAACTCAGGTGTTATTTACCATTTGAGTTTAGGGAATGGTAATTTTTTTTTTTTTATTCCACTCAATATATCTCTGTCTTGAAGATCTTCAAATTTGTTGAATATTTTCCTAAATAGTCTTAGTGTTAAGATATGACCGTATACAAGTTTGTGCTTCATCTTGCCCTTTGCATTTTCAGAGAACTTGGAGTCCTACAGCATTATCAAGGATTCTTTATTTGTTAGAGTTGCCACTTACAGTCCTGAAGTCAAGTCACGGATTGTGATCAGTAATGATTTGTGCAGAGGGTATATGTCAACATGCCGGTCCCATTGTCTGACGGCAGCTCTGGCAGGCTTCTCTCTCTCTCGGAAAAACTGTTCTGTTATCAGAGATTGAGAATTGAGAGGGAGAAAATTGTTCCTTGTTTATGGTGACAGATCTGGATCTGGGAGGTAGAGCCTGTCATGGGAAGACCTGGTTTCTAGTCTTAGCATTGCCGTATTACCCTGGGCAAGTGCTGGGCTTGGAGTTTGGGTTCCTCTTCATCAATGAAATCATGTTGATCTCTTCCAGCTTTAAAAGCTGTTACTTACCTCTAGCATGCCAATTCCTTTAATTGGGAAATTGATATACTCCAAGTTCATTGTAAGTTCTGATCTTAAATAATCTCATGTATATAGCCATCTGTGTTAGACATGTAAGGGGAAGTTAGTAATTTCTCTTGCTGGCTTTTAGCCTATTGCCGGACATCATTTCACCACGTTATGCCTTTTTAAAAAAACATCCGGATCAACCCAGGGAATACTGTTCCCAACCAGTTCCTTTTGAACATTGGTTTAACCCATGATGGTTTTCATTTGGGGAGGGGTTTTTCAGCTAATCCCTCTCTTTACCTGTGCATACTATTGGATCACTAGAGAATGTGGGCCAGCACACTCCGTTTAATGGCCTCAGAAATAGACACAGAGGAGCTCTGAAATTAGAAGAATTCGTATCACATTTGTGTGTGTGTGTGTATATTTTATGTCCATTAAGCTCTCAGAAATTTTTTTTGCTCATTTGTAGACACTAAAAGTACTGGTAGCCTTTGAACAGAACACATTGCTTTGCAATGTGGACAAAATGACTGTTGCACAGTGAACCCCAAATTGTTCCTTCAAGATCACAGAGTACTTCATTTATATTTCTCAAGGAAGCATTTAGTTTATAAAGACCAAAGATACTCAGTGAGTTTAGAAACCCAGGGTGGGAAGTCCCTGCTCTTTGCAAATTGAGCATGATATAACCTTACGGAACAAAACAGGAGTTTGTATTTCCAATCTACAACTTTCCGGGAGCCTCGATCATCCAGCATTCTTCTAGTTGGGGAACGGATCCCTAGGCTGTACGTTAAGGTGCTGATGTGTACAAGTCTTAGCCAATATTGGAGTTCCACAGAATGGGAATGACATGCTTCCCTTTTTATTCTCCTCCGCCTTAGGATCCTGTCACCACGTTGAGAAGATTAGACAAAAACTCTTTGCAGTTTATTTTCTTTTTGAACAAGTTACATTACGGAGGGACTTTTAAGCTAAAAGAAGAAAAGCTCCCTCTTTGTTAGAAGCAGCAGTGTGTAGTTTCAACTTGTCTTGGACTTCCTCGGAGATGTTTTAAAATCCGGTATAAACTTGCTGTGGTTTGCCTTTGGGCATCAAACTGTTTAGCTTGGCTCTGTTATATCTGTAATTGCTGCATTTTAATAATTGCCCAATATTCTTGTCAGCAATTTGCAGTCTGTATTTTTAATAGAAGCTTTTGCCTTTCTTTCCACAGGTTCATTCAGACCTGGGTTAAGCCCCTGGATTAATGCTCACAGTCCCACAGACCCTCTGCAGCTGCGGCCAGGGGGGGGGGGCATAAGCTCATTAAATATTCCCGCAAGCCTCGTGTGGGTTATAGTTTATGTGCTCCATAAAAATCCTCTGGGAAGCCATCTTCTTCTGAGATCTCCTTACAGGGTTTTGCTTTATGAAAATTGCTCTTAGCATTTGCTGAAATAGCATATTCTTTTGGAGAGAGTTTTCCTTATCAATCCATTCAGGAAATTTAATTTTTTGGAGGGAAAAAATAGGGTCAAATTATCTTTGCTGTCATTGACTTTTTTTTTTTAAGACTCTTTATTAGAGAGAGAGAGAGAGAGAGCATGAGTGGGAGAAGGGGCAGATGGGGAGGGAGGGGGAGAGAGAGAATCTTTCATGCAGCCTGATGCGGGGCTCCATCTCACAACCCTGAGATCATGACCTGAGCTGACCGACTGAGGCACCCAGGCGCCCTGCTGTCGTTGACTTTTTAAGTTCACAGAGGAGACTTCCATTTCATTTGAGATGATGTGGAATTATGGTGACAGCAGTGTTGGACTTAAAGGGGTGATTGAAGTCAGTTTCATGCTTTCCAAAATTATCTACTTAGGCAGTTTTTGAGACAAGACCATTGTGTCACTAATGGCTTGTGCCTCTACTTAACTGGTAATTTTGTTCTTTTAGTGATTCCACTCTTTAGCTTACCTCCTTTTTGTGTCTGTTGAAATATTCATTTTTCAGTAAACAAAAGATTGAACTGATTTTATAGTAGCTAAGGATTACATAAATAAACATCCTAATTTTTCCATTTCATTGGTATAAATATACCTCAAAAGGAATGGACACGTAACATTTATTGATTGCTTATTATGTGTTCCCCACTGTTCTAAGCTTTACACACACACACGCACGCACGCACACACGTGTGCATGCTAATGTAATCCTCACAATGGCCCATTTGATGGGTTCATGCATGCAGAATAATCCGCCGAGCATAACCCATTTGGTAGGTGGCAGAGTGGACTCATACCTAGGCAGGCTTTTAACTGCCATCGTAATCCATTTCTGTTCATACTAGGCTTTTAATCACTATCGTGCATCAAGATTGAACAACAGTACCTCCTGCACATGTAATAATTTAGTTTCAAGGCATATGTAAAAAATTCTTTTGGATGTTAGAACTTTATTGTTATTTCTGGATAGGTAATACTTGCAAAACCCCAATGGTAGAAAACTCAAATGGGAATCAGTGAAAAGGCTCCTGTGCTCCTACCACTGCCCCCCAGTCATCCTCTTTCCCTCGTTACAGGCAATTTTAAAAAAATTTTTAGAGAGGGAGGAGGGTCAGGGCAGAGGGAAAGGGAGAGAGAGAATCTTAAGCAGGCTCCATGCCCAGCGTGGAGCCCAACACAGGGCTCCGTGTCACAACCCTGAGATCACGACCTGAGCTGAAATCAAGAGTCAGACATTTAATAGACTGAGCCACCCAAGGCACCCCATGAAAAGAGGCATTTTATTTATTTATTTATTTATTTTTAAAGCTTTTTATTTATTTATTTGACAGAGAGAAACACAGCGAGAGAGGGAACACAAGCAGGGAGAGTGGGAGAGGGAGAAGCAGGCTTCCCGCGGAGCAGGGAGCCCAATGCGGGGCTCGATCCCAGGACCCCGGGATCATGGCCTGAGCCGAAGGCAGACGCTTAATGACTGAGCCACCCAGGCACCCCTGAAAAGAGGCATTTTAAATATCTTTTCCTTAACACTTGATGCAGTGAACTAAGACCATTTAATTAGAAACTCATTTTGCGGGACGCCTGGGTGGCTCAGTCGGTTAAGCGTCTGCCTTCGGCTCAGGTCATATGATCCCAGGGTCCTGGGATCAAGTCCCGCATCAGGCTCCTTGCTCAGTGGGGAGCCTGCTTCTCCCTCTCCCTCTGCCTGCCGCTCCCTGCTGCTTGTGCTCTTTCTTTCTCTCTGTCAAAAAAATAAATGAAATCTTAAAAAAAAAAAAAAAGAAACTTATTTTGCCATTGTTTTTTATATTTTTGCACTGCATTTACAAGTACCCAAACTGGCTTTGTCTCTGAAGGTAGCAAGCTGGTTCTGTAGATAGTGTTTCCTGGGTGCGGGTATGAAGGCTGCAGTTCCCGGCTATTTGAGATGGTTCCTGGAAACTCCATGATCTTGCCTTGTTCAGCACATAGATGAGACAGGGTCTTTGTGCTCTTAGCCAGTTGCTAGATACCTTCAATTCCTGATAAGAAGGAATCATGCCCTTACACAGAGCCTGGAACATAGTAGGTGCTCAATAAATGCTTGTTGAATTGAACAATTTCTGTGGGTTGTGCCAGGCTCAGGGATATAGGGCTGGAAAATACATTCGGTGTGTCTAAATGAAGTAATCTTTAAGACCATAGGAGGGATATTCAAGTTAAACAAATCACCATGAAAACTTGTCATTCAAGGCTCTGGATAGTATAAGGTTAGAAGGTACCTCTGGATCCTCTGATCCAGTAACCAGAGTCTCCGATGGGGTTGAGAGACAGGGAAGACTTGTCTCCTGTTAAAATGTTGGCAAACAGTTGAAAAGAGAGCTTTCCTTTTCATGGTTCTTTATTTTTCACATTGATTCTAAATGTATTTTAATTTGATCCTTGGGATGACTCTGTCATTATAACATTAGACTGAGTCTCTGATCAGAGTTGTGTTTCCTTGTTGACACTAGGAAGTTCATGTGTCAAGCGTCATTGATTACTTTAGTGCCACAGCATAACTGGTAATGTTCTATTATAGGTGCATCTTGATTTTCTTCTGTATTCCTAAAAATTTTATATAAAACCAAAGATTTAAAGTGTTAAAACTAAGCATTTCTTTACAAAAGTATTTGCTTTAAAAATCTTTACTGGGTAATTGGCACCCCCACATCAGCTTACCGGAGTGCTGTCTAGGCATCTTGTAAGATAAATAAACCTTACACTTTTTAGAAATTCTTCATTTCACTTTAATGTGTATTTTTGAAAAGCAGTTTCTGCATTAAGTTTTCTTCTTGAAATATGTTTATTTTTACAGGCGATTTGAAAATCAGGAAGGAGGACTTTTAAGGCTACTTCTGATTTGCCAACATTGTCTACAGTCTGAAGCTGAGGTGACTGAATGGGGCACACTTTTGGAGAAATAAAAATGCCTTCTCACTATGTGATGGCCTTGTTTGCACTGATGAGTTCCTGTGTGGCCACTACAGGTAAGTTGCTGAATATAGATTTCACGTTCATTATATTCTTTCAGATATATTTTTCTTCAGTCTCTTGTTTGGAAGAATTTCGAAAATGTGAGGTGTATGCAAATTCTGAGTATTGTGAGTATTTATGTTTTTCAGCGACCTAAAATATTTGACGACAAATTACATAGTATGTTTGCCTAGGTTGTATTTCACTAGACTGGTGCTAGACATTCTAGAGTCAGTGACACAGATGTCTAACTAAACCTCAGTGTTGAGATGGGTAGAGAACAAATAATGGTGATGTGTCATCCCACTTAATTTTGCTCCATGCATAGATTACATTTATTTTCTTGTCCTAAATAAGAATGTCAAGAAAGCTTTTTTTGTTTTTTATCATAAAATAAATAGATCTACTGAGAGGTGACCCTCCTGGCACAGGATGCTTAGGAAGTGTTAATTTTGCCCATTTAGGTATTTTAATGTGTAATTTTATAAAAAGTACAGAGCTGTGCTTCCTGGAGGCCACCAGAGTATGAGATTGGAGATAAGAAGCGAAAGACTTGGTGGGAACATTGTTGCTTAAGTAGGAGTATCAGATCCCCCACAGCATCATCTTAGCATTCCCAGTCAGGGATACTTAACAAATTTGGAAGGTTAATTTGCTCTATTTTGTGGTAATTTGCTTTATGTCTGTTGTAGAATGAACTACATGAAAGAATTTGTTGGACCAGTTCTGTAAACTGGCTGGTCTCAACAAGAAACACATTGACTTGAAAAATGATTAACCTCTTGGTTTTGGCTATTGAATTCACATACAAATGAGACGATAGTGATGATAATAATTGCCATTTATTGAGTGTGCACCACAACCCAGCACTGGGCTAAACAATTACAGAATCTAACAATGAATAAGGATACTCTTATTTCGTGAGCTCACTTAGTCACAGCTCTGAGGTAGGTAGGCTTATTTTTCCCATTTGACAAATGATGAGAGGAGGTGATGTGCACAGTCATGTGGCTGGAAAGTGGAGGAGCCAAGTTTTACATCTGTGGTCTTCACCTCTGTGCTGCACTGAAGAAGCCAGTAAGAAGCGGTGAAGGCTGGGGCGCCTGAGTGGCTCAGTCGGTTAAGCGTCTGCCTTCGGCTTAGGTCATAATCCCAGGGTCCTGGGATTGAGTCCTGCATCAGGCTCCCTGCTCCACCGGGCGTCTGCCTCTCCCTCTCCATCTGCCTCTCCCCCAGCTCAGGCTCTCTCTCGCTCTCTCTCAAATAAATAAATAAAATATTAAAAAAAAAAAAAAAAAGAAGTAGTGAAGGCTGCAGTAAACTCAGACCAGGAGTCATTTGTAGGCACACAGGCTGAGTGCAAGTCAGTTTGCAGAACTTGGTTTATGAGGTTGCACAGCAACATGTCCCCCCTCATTGCAAATATCTTGAGAGAAAGTTGGTAGTTTCTTTGTTTTGTTTTTTAAATGCCAGTGTGACTTTGAACTGCCCACTCTCTGTCAGCAGTTTCGTTTTGTCTCATGATTGAAGAGTTATTTGTCTCTTAGGCTGTGCATTAAAACTGATCTTAATTAAAATCTCATTGAAAAAGGATGCCTGGATGGCTCAGTCAGTTAAGCGTCCGCCTTCAGCTCAGGTCATGATCCCAGGGTCTTGGGATCAAGCCCCGCATTGGGCTCTGCTCAGTGGGGAGCCTGCTTCTCCCTCTCCGTCTGTCCACCTCTCTGCCTACTTGTGATTTCTCTTTCTCTGTCAAATAAATAAATAAAATCTTTTAAAAAAACTCACTGAAAAGTTGTAGCAAAAAAAAGAGAGAGAGAAAGAGAAATGGCTTGATGGAAAATGCTATTTTGATGACAAGAGGTATTACCATACTTGGTGGGTTTGAAGCAGAATTTTCTGCTTTCGCTGATGCCTGGGACAGACTAAAAAACATAACCGAAGAAGGTACTTCATGGGAAAGTGGTGAATTTGATGGCTCTGTATAGCCTTGATGTATTAGATAGTGACTCAGTTTTGGTTAAGACCTTCCTTGCTCTTTCAAGCCATGGGTAAAATATTTTTTGAGTTGTATACATACTCAAAATTTTGCTGAGAATTATGGTAAAATTGAAGGTACAGTAGAATTACCAATTTTGTAGCAACCTGAGGGAAATGATTAATGGTAGAGGTAGAGATGCCTTTTTTTTAATGCTAAATTTTTATTGAAATACAGTTTGCAGAGATAAACATACACATGAAAATGTGTAGCTCAGTATATTTTCATGAACTAAATACATCTATGTGAACAGCATTTGAGATGCCTTTTTTTTTTTAAAGTAGGCTCCATGTTCATTGTGGAGCCCAATGTGGGGCTTGAACTCATGACCCTTAGATCAAGACCTGAGATGAGATCCATGATTGGACACTTAACCAACTGAGCCACCCAGGTGCCCAAGAGATGCCTTTTTGAAAAACTTATTGGCGAAATAAGAAGGGAGAAATATTTTGTATATACTGAATCCAGTAGCTTTTTGTATAGGCTCAGCATACTTTACAAAATGCTTTTTGGGGCATTCCGGAGGAGTTGAACTTCAGGAAAATAGTAGTGATAATAATAATAATGAATTTTTATAGAGTAATTAGCTAATTACTGTGTGCCAGGTCCTGTTGAAAGTGCTTTATATGTATTACCTCACTTCATCCTTATAACTGTCCTAGGAAGTGTAGGTACTTTGTTTATCCCCAGTTTATAAATGAAGAAACTGAATACAGACAGGTTAAGTAACTTCTTCAAGGTCACACAGCTGGTAAGTGGCAGATTTAACCATGAACCTACTTAGTCTAGGTCTTTTTTTTTTTTTTTTGAAGATTTTATTTATTTATTTATTTATTTGACAGAGAGAGAGACACAGCAAGAGAGGGAACACAAGCAGAGGGAGTGTGAGAGGGAGAAGCAGGCTCTTAGCAGGGAGCCTGATGCAGGACTCAATCCCAGGACTCTGGGATCATGACCCGAGCCAAAGGCAGATGCTTAACGACTGAGCCACCTGGGTGCCCCTACTTAGTCTAGGTCTGATGATTGAGCCTTTAAGTCTCTACACTATGAAGGGAGTATTGATCAGAAGCATGTTTAAAATGAATGATAATGTATTTGCTGTGTGCTGTGTCATCTTGAAACCACAAGTAAACCACTAATTTGCTGAGTCCCTCTAAGTGCAAAGAACAGTACTAGTCAGTCCGGGTTATACAAAGAAATGTAAGATTCATCCCTTCCTTTGAATCACTTGTGCTTTAGTTAGGCATATAAAATTTCACCATATAACAAAATAATCAATATATGGTAAATACCAAACAGAAGCCAGAAGACCTCAGAGAGGTCAGAAGGGGAAGCCCTGGTGGTTGGAGTAGCTATGGAGGGCTTTGTGGATGTGCTTGATCTTGAGCTCGGTTTTGAAGGCTAGCTAAGTGAAGGCCATCTAGAAAGGCAAAGGCTGGTTGACCAGATGTGGAACAGTGCCTAGCACAGTATATGGCACGTAGGTGCTTGATATGTTTTTAAAGGGTAGATGACCTGGAGAATTGGTAAAGGAATAGGCCAGGAGGTCTGTTTGGAAGGAAGGATGGGTGTAGGTTGCGGAGGGCCCTAAAGATCAGAACGAGAGTTGTGGATTTCATTTTGAGGTTTGGATTTTTCTTCTGTTCCCATGTAGCCAAAGGCATATACTGTTTAATCCTAGAATCTGAACTGTGGCCTCAGAAAATGAGGCTGAGAATATGGCTTCTTTGGCTTCAAGGACAACACTGCTTGGCATATTGACCAACAATTTATCAAGGGCTTGCTCTCTGCCAGCTAGCTTGTTTTGTTTTTATAAGACAACCCTATGAGGTGGGTGTTAGTATTACCATAATTTGCATTTTACACACAAGGAAACCGACTCAGTTTGGTTAATATTTGTATAAAGTCCCATAACTAATAAGAGACAGAGCTGGGACTTGAACTCAGGCAGTGTGGCTCTAGAGTCCAGCCCATCCACCACTCCACTGGAGCCTCTGTGTAGGAGACCCTCATTGTGGAATGATTGAAGCCCTTCACTTGACTGAGTAGTCACCAGTAAGTCATTCTGGAACCAGATTAAACTCCTTTCACCTTAGAAGAGACATATATAAGTCATCAGAATGGAAGGACCCTCAAGTAATGGGTCTTCTGTATTTGCATTCTTACTTCACTGACATGACTGTGAAGCTCTTTTGTAGGGTTCTTGGTAGCAGAAGGAGTGAAGGCTATATAAAAGGCCTCCTTTAGATATGTAGCCAGGGAGGGCAAAGGACAGCCCAGCACATAAAATTAACTCGAGTTAGGACAGTAGGCCTGTTCTAGCCCCATGGATTTGGCTGGGTCTTTAGCGAAAGCCTTTCCTTCTCCATTTGTGGTTGAGCGTGAAGGAGGCAGGGGTCAGCAAGCTGCATCCCAGGGTTAGAGGTTGCTTTAATAAAACCCTTACTTGTGGGCGCCTGGGTGGCTCAGTTGGTTAAGCGACTGCCTTCGGCTCAGGTCATGATCCTGGAGTCCTTGGATCGAGTCCCTGGATCGAGTCCCGCATCGGGCTCCCTGCTCAGCAGGGAGCCTGCTTCTCCCTCTGACCCTCCCCCCTCTCATGTGCTCGCTCTCTCTCATTCTCTCTTTCTCGAATAAATAAAATCTTAAAAATAAAATAAAATAAAATAAAATAAAATAAAATCGCTACTTGTTCTCCCCTCTCTTTTTCCTGGTTTATTGTGCAGCATGTGGGTAGGGAGGGCCCTGCTGTTGGTGAACAAGAGCTGTGTAAAGACCATAATGCCTCCTGGTTCGAAATTATCTTAGGTTTTTAGCACCTTGTCTTAAATCCTGTAATCTCATGGGCGCCTGGGTGGCTCAGTCAGTTGAGCATCCAATTCTTGATTTTCACTCAGGTCGTGAAATCAAGCCCTTTGTGGGGCTCCATGCTGGGCGTGGGGCCTGCTTAAGATTATCTCTCTCCCTCTCCCACCC